ACATTTTTGGCCCGAGTAGCTTGCATTGCCATTCGTAGACAGATTTGGAGCTATAGAAATAACTCTATCTATAGTGGCATGAATAAAGACCATATGTATGCGAGAATGGTAATCATTGACACTCTTCAACACTTGGATGCTATTGTTATTCCGTTGATGCAATCCACCAAATATGGTATGGACTCTTTGCAAACTATTGGAATCACCCCTAGAGGCCCAAAAGCCAAACGAATTTCCATATGTTCTTAGACCCTCCCCCCTTTGGTTGAACTTGTATGCCCTTAACACGGATGGATCATGCCGTAATAATAAAACGGCCATAGGGGGGGTAATCCGAGATCATAATGGAAATTTGCTTTGTGCATATGCAGGGCCCTCGGGAGATGGTACCGGTTTCAAAGGGGAAGCTCACGCTTTAGCCTTAGGGGATTGAATTGATTGACATGACGAATCTCAAACCCACCACTGTCTATACTGACTCCGCATGTTTAGCTAGGAGCATTGGTCAAGCTTGCCCCCTTTAGCACCTTCATAATACATGGATAACAATGCAATGTCATCTTCGTAATATTTCTGTCTTACATTGTATGCGAGAATCTAACTATGTAGCAGATGCTCTATCAAAACTGGGCCACGATATCACTCAAGTTACACTATTCTTTGATACTGGGCAACTTCCAAGGCACATCCAATACCTCTTATGGCGGGATAAGATGGGCTAATCATATGTTAGAAGTCGATAATGCAGAATATGCTATGTAAATTGTTTTTTCCAGCTTTACATTGGTTGCAGTCTCACTCTTGGCTATTAAGATCTGTGTATTGGGGCACTAAGGCCAATCCATACCTTCAGCAGCAACATATTTGGATCAAAAGCATGATATCATTATCGGATATGTACAATTTTGGTTTTGTGGAGTTTTCTATGAAAATTTGTCTCTGGGTTTCAGGCTGGTTTCTGGAATACTATGCCTGCTGGAATGTTCCGTGGGTTTTGGTTGGCTTTTTTCTATGCTGGCAATGGAGTTCTTGGTCCATTGGAACCTGCCGAGCTTGTTTTTTTTTGCTGGATCCGATGATCACTGTAGCAGGCCTGGGTTATCTCTACTGGAAATGGCGATTTCTGCAAGTTAAAAACACTGTAGCATTCATATCTCAGTTGAATATTTTGCTGGAATTAGGGTGCTCAGCTTTTATATATATTTCCATTGCGCCCTTAACACTGAATCGAACACATGACTCTAGCCTCGGGTACGTACATGTTTCAATTGTATTATTTTCCATGAACAATGGCTTTCATTGGTTTTCTTTTCTTTTTTTAGTATGGATTTGGGATGCTCGGTTTTTGGAAGTGTTGCAGGCTTTGGTTTTTTCCTGGCTGGGCTTGGATGCTGTCATTGGAAGCTTGTTGAATTTGATTCTGAGGCTGTAAATGGCAGTTGCACTATTTTGGAGTCACTGTAGCTGGATCTAGGTTATCTTGCTGGATACAGATATTTTCTCAATCCAACACTTCTGTAGCAGTCGGTTACCTTAGCTTTCTTTGTTTGTGGCTGATAGACAAAGAAGAATTGTTGAGTAAAAGGTCTTGAATATTCTCTTCATGAACCATGAATATATACAAGTTACATTGTACAGATATGGTAATGAATAATATAATTATTCCAGCATATTCTCTATCTTAATAAGGTATATAATCTCCCTATAATCTCCTAATATATTCCTAACACTCCCCGTCAAACTCATGGTGGATCAAACACCGAGAGTTTGGAAAGTAGAAATTTGTGACGCTTGGAGGTGTGAGCTTTGGTGAAGAAATCAGCAAGCTGAAGCTCAGAGGAAACATATGATAGAGAGATCGTCTTAGTCTTTGAAAAGTGATGCCGTATGAAATGACAATCAATCTCAATGTGTTTTGTGCGCTCATGAAACACTGGATTGGTAGCAATCTTTATTGCACTTTGATTATCGCAATAGAGAGGAGTCGGAGAGAGACAATCAATACCCATGTCACGTAGAAGCTGTCGCAACCAGATAATCTCAGAGGTAGTATTTGACATAGATCGATACTCCGCTTCGGCACTAGATTTTGAGACGACATCTTGCTTCTTAGCTCGCCATGATATTAGAGTATCACCAAGAAATACACAAAAACCGGTAATAGATCGACGATCACTAATATCACGGGCCCAGTCGGAGTCAGAGAAGGCACGCAGTTGTAGCTTTGATGTTGAGGAGAACAAGAGAGCTCTAGATGAAGTGCCACGAAGATAGCGTAGAATACGAAGTACAGCAGCATAGTGAGCTGATGTAGGAGACTGAACAAATTGACTCACCACATGAACAACATAAGCAATATCTAGTCAAGAGATAGTGAGATACACCAAAGCACCAACAATTTCACGATACCGAGTGGGATTTTCCAGGGGTTCTCCTGTATCAGGTGCTAGTTTTTGATGGAGCTGAATAGGTGTGTCAGCGATCTGATCATCGGTCAACTCAGCTCGAGCCAAAAGATCAGAAATGTATTTTTGTTGAGAAAGAAGATATCCTCGTGGTCCATATGCAACTTCGAGTCCTAGAAAATATCGAAGATGCCCAAGATCTTTCATCTCAAATTTTTCATGCAGAGAGGTCTTCACAGTATTCAGAAATGAAGGATCACTGCCAGTAATGACCATATCATCAACATAAAGAAGAAGAATAGTGCGTCCTCGACTAGATGTATGAACAAACATCGCATGATCAGCCTCACTCTGAATAAAGCCCATATTAAGTACTGCAGAGCTGAATTTCTCAAACCAGGCTCGAGGAGCTTGTTTTAGGCCATATAATGCACGACGAAGATGACAAACTTGTCCTGACAAATGAGGAAGACCTTGAGGTGGTTGCATATAAACTTCTTCATGAAGATCACCATGAAGAAAAGCGTTCTTCACATCAAGCTGATAGAGAGGCCACTGTTGAGCAGCTGCAACAGCAATAAGAGTTCGAACTGATGTCATCTTAGCCACAGGAGCAAAAGTCTCCTCATAATCAATCCCATATTCTTGGGTAAATCCTCGAGCAACTAGACGAGCCTTGTACCGATCTATTGTACCATCTGAACAAGTTTTAATTTTATAAACCCATTTGCAACTAATTGGAACTTTTCCTGGAGGTATTGAGACAAGATCCCAGGTACCAGTCTTTTGAAGGGCGGCTAACTCTTCCTCCATAGCTGCTTGCCACTCAGGAGAAGAAGCAGCCTGACGATAAGATGTAGGCTCATGATGCGAATGAATGGCTGTCAAGAAGGCATGAAAAGCAGGAGTAAAAGATGAAGAAATACAACCAAAGAATTGTTTTGCCTTACGAATACGGAGAGGATAGCGGCGATCAGCTAGTGAAGAATCGTCATCCGGGGCCGAGTTTGAATGGTCAGTAGGTGAGACTGGAGCATGTACACTTTGGTGATCATCAGAGGATGGAGATGGAGAGGAAGGTGGTGAATCTACTGGAATTGAAGGTGTGGTAAGCTCAAGAAATGAAAGATCAACGGAAATAGGTGATGTATTATTGTCATTGAGGGACTGTCTAGAGTAATATGAAAGATGCTCCAAAAAGGTCACATCTCGGGAAATGCGGAGTCTCTTTTTAATTGGATCATAACAGCGATATCCTTTGTGCTCAAGACTGTATCCAAGAAAAACACAAATCGCAGAACGAGGAGATAACTTATCTCTTTCATGAGATGGTAATAGAACTAGACAAGTACAGCCAAACACACGAAGATGTGAATAAGAAGGACGACGTATGTCAATTTTTTAAATGGTGATATGCCAGAAAGAACTGAAGAGGGCATCAAATTGATGAGATACACAGCTGTAGCAACAGCATCAGCCCAAAATTGTTTAGGCATGGAACTAGAGATGAGTAATGATCTTGTAGTCTCCATAATATGACGGTGTTTTCTTTCTGAAACACCATTTTGCTGATGTGCATAAGGACATGAAAGCTATAAGAGAGTACTCTGATCAACAAGAATACGACGAAACTCATGAGAGAGATATTCACCACCAGAATCAGATCGAAAGGTTTTAATAGTAGTGCCAAACTGAGTTTTGATCATAGTAGTGAAATCTTTATAAATTTGAGGTAGAGATGAACGATGATGCATAAAATAAACCCAAGTGTAACGAGAAAAGTTATCAATAAAGATAACATAATATTTATTACCATTACAAGACGACAAGGGGGCTGGGCCCCAAACATCCGAATGTACGAGTTGAAAAGGAAAGCTACTTTGAGACTCACTAAGAGGATAAGGTTTAGTGACGTGTTTAGATAGTTTACATCCCATACAAATAAACATACTTGAAATGGGATAACTACCCAAAGCGCCATTATTTGAGAGAAAGCGAAGACGATCAGTAGATAAGTGACCTAATCGATGATGCCAAAGATCTCCTGTGGAAAAAGCATCATCGCGACTGGTGATAGTGTGTACGGCTGCGGAATGGGTGATAGAAGTGGATGGTAGTGTTAGATGATCCATAATGTAAAGTCCATCACGCCTATGTCCCTGACCAATCAAGGCTCCGGTCTGACGATCCTGCACATAACAAGAAGTAGAGTCAAAAACCACAATACAATTATGATCAGTTATTTGACTAACTGAAAGTAAATTCAATGAAAGATGTGGTATGTGTAAAACAGATGGAACGGATAAGCGACCAGTAATAGATCCCTTATGTGTAGCAGAGAGAGAAGAGCCATTTGCTGTAAAAACATTGACTTCTGAATGTAAAAGTGATGGAGAGGATAAAACAGATGAATGTGGAGTCATATGAAATGAAGCACCAGAGTCCAGTATCCAAATATTTTTCGGTATACCTGTGGGACCAGAGGTAGTGGAAAAAGTATGACCAGAGGTACCAAATGGAGAGGGTGTCATGATACTTGGAGCAGCAACCGGAGAGGAGATAGAGGTGCCCCCCCCTTTGAAGCATCTGGATCAATTATGGCACAGAAAGAGTAACACTCGAAGTAGATTCCTCAGGAGCAGTAGAACACTCATTAGAAAAATCTTTAGCACCAGAAATTGCCACGGTAGCAGTGGATCGTTGACGAGGATGTCGGTTTTCAGCTTGTTGTCGCTTAAAACAATTTTGGATGATATGTCCAGGACGACGACAATACCGACAATAAGTATTCCTTTGTTTGTTAGAAGAGACAGATGGTGCGGAGACCGTGGCCGAAGATGACTGTGGTACAGATGATTGTTGAGCAACCAGGGCACCTTGAATAGAAGTAGTCTTTGTGTTTAGGACACGTTGGCGAGTCTCTTCAGCGATGAGTTCAGCCAAAGCATCATCAAGAGTTGGTAGCGGTGACCGATGAAGAATTTGACTGCGCAATGACTCATACTCAGGTCGCAGACGCATCAAGAATTGAAATAGTCGATGTTGATCGCGAACACAACGCTGTTTGGTGGCACATGCACAAACTGCACAAGTTTGACATAAAGGTTCCTCCATTATTGCAAGTTGGCGCCATTGAGTATGCATAAAGTTATAAAATTCTTGTATAGATCGCTCATCTTGTTGAGCAAGAGAGAGTTCTTGATAGACAGAATATGAGTGAGCATGACTAGATTGTTGATAAAGTCCTTGCAATTGGCACCACATGGCAAGTGCAGTCTGGAGACTAACAAGTTGCATGCGTATGTCAATCTCTAAGGAAGAAGAAATAATGCCACGTGCTCGGCGGTCTGCAAGAGCCCATGCCGCTGTTTGCTTAGCATCAGTTCCAGATTCAGGAGGCGGCGTGCCATCAATGTGACTCGTGAGATCGAGAGCATCAAAAAGAAGTTGCACAGAAATCGACCACTCACGGTAATTGGTCCCTGTGAATTTCACATCAAGCTGAGGAAACTTCTCAATAAAGTTTGCAGCCATGTTTTAAAAATAGAACCCGAAGGTTTAGAATAAAACCCGAAGGTTTAAAAATAGAACTAACCCGAAGGTTAGTTAAAATGAACCCGAAGGTGCGATGAAACCCAAAGGTTTAAAATAGAACTAACCCGAAGGTTAGTTAAAATAAACCTTCAAATAGAACTAACCCGAAGGTTAGTTAAAATAAACCCGAAGGTTAAAATAGTTACTCGTGTCTCTTCCTCTCTCAGATAAAGGCCCAATCAAAAAAACAAAAGCAGCAGCGGAATTGTTGGTGAACTCTTTTGTTTTTTTTTTCAAAGGAGAAGACCAGGTTTGCTTCCAGAAACCTTAGAGCCTTCTGAGATCGAGCGATCCAATTGAAGGATCCGCACGATCAATGCAGAGATCCACCAATCCAATTGACGAATTCAAAAGAACCACCTTCAACAGACACCGATCTGAAGAGAGAATCCAGGAAACCACCCAACTCGGTCTCGGCGATGAAGTGATCCTGAAGTGCGATCGAGAGCCAACCGATTCGTCGTTGGGAGAAGAAGCAGCCGACGGATGCGGGTGCAATGGATCTCGTTGACGAGAAAGGAAACGGCAGCGACAGTGGCTGCTGGAATCCGACGACGGCAAACGGTCGAGGCTGAGATCGAGAGACTGCCACGAGGTCGACCACGATGAGGTGAGGATGACGGACTTGGTGGCTGATGTTGAAATTAGGGTTTTGAGACTATAGTTTAATTGATTTGATCAATTGGATGGTTAGGATTGATTTGAGAACTCAGGCTCTGATACCATGATAGACAAAGAAGAATTGTTGAGTAAAAGGTCTTGAATATTCTCTTCATGAACCATGAATATATACAAGTTACATTGTACAGATATGCTAATGAATAATATAATTATTACAGCATATTCTCTATCTTAATAAGGTATATAATCTCCCTATAATCTCCTAATATATTCCTAACAGTGGCATTGCTTGTTCTAGCAGAAGTGTCAAGGGGAGTTTTAATGATGACATGGTGGCTAACCCGCTTGATAGTCTTCAAAATTGCAATTACTTTTATGGAATTGTGCAATATTTGTATTATTGTTTGTTCAGGAGCTCGATATGTAGAGCTCACAAGTATTTTGTATATTTTGTCTTTGTTCAGGAGCTCTAGGCGTAGAGCCCATAAGTCTTTTGTGATAGTCTTTGTATTTTGTTCCTTTTGTATAGTGAGGGATGTCTCTCAAATTGAAGTACACGATCCCATCCCTATGGGAGACATCATGTATTTTGCTATCTATTAATGAAGTTTTATTTTGTTAAAAAAAGAGATTCCCACTGTCCATGTCTACTATCCAGCGAAACCATAGCCAAGGGAACGGGTTTGGTAAAATCAGCGGGGAAAGAAGATCCTGTTGAGCTTGACTCTAGTCCGACTTTGTGAAATAACTTGAGAGGTGTAGTATAAGTGGGAGCCAGCTTGCCGACGAAAGTGAAATACCACTACTTTTAACGTTATTTTACTTATTCCCGTGAGACGGAGGCGGGGCTTAGCCCCTCCTTTTGGCTCCAAGGCTCTCACCCATGGGCCGATCCGGGCGAAATACATTGTCAGGTGGGGAGTTTGGCTGGGGCGGCACATCTATTAAAAGATAACGCATGTGTCCTAAGATGAACTCAACGAGAACAGAAATCTCGTATGGAACAAAAGGGTAAAAGCTCGTTTGATTTTGATTTCCAGTACGAATACGAACCGTGAAAGCGTGACCTATCAATCCTTTAGACCTTCGGAATTTGAAGCTAGAGGTGTCAGAAAAGTTACCACAGGGATAACTGGCTTGTAACAGCCAAGCGTTCATAGCGACGTTGTTTTTTGATCCTTCGATGTCGGCTCTTCCAATCATTGTGAAGCAGAATTCACCAAGTGCTGGATTGTTCACCCACCAATAGGGAACGTGAGCTGGGTTTAGACCGTCGTGAGACATGTTAGTTTTACCCTACTGATGATTGCGTCACGATAGTAATTCAACTTAGTACGAGAGGAACCGTTGATTCACACAATTGGTCATCGCGCTTGATTGAGACCCACTATCACAGCTCACATGTCGGTGTCATGCATAATCACCTGTCATAATTAGTTATTGGTTAAACACAAGTTTAAAAAATCTCTAAGTAAGATCACATCTCAAAGCAAGTGACACATCACAGTGCATGATCTAACAAAATAATTTCTAAGGATATATAACAATTATATAAATGACACTCAAATTATACGTGCAACAATTGAATCTATTAACATTTCTCAAATATTATATAATTTGTATTGGATGATCAAGTGCATATTATACTATTCCAACATTAAGAATAAGAGAACTCATCTATATTTTGTGAAGAAAAAAAAAATCCTAAATTTGACTACTAGTGTGCTGAAGCACTCTTTTGATATTATAGTACACGCCTTTCCTGCACTAATTATCTCAACAAATATTCCCTAACCCAAAACAATTGAATAAAAGTCAGAAATTTATGTTTTAGATAAAAAAGATAATAACACATTCTTTTTTTTAGCTAAAAAACATAACAAAGCGTACATTACAATTTCTCATCGCATTTATAATTAACAATTAATGTTCTTACTAACAAAAAGTTGTACCTTCTATTCAAGTTCATCACAGTATTAGCCTTTATTACTCCAATTTCACTACTTTCGTTGTAAAAGTTGAATGGACAGAGTAAAGTGAATAAAAAACAATCACCCAGTTATAATCTTCTATTGGAAAACATCATTCCTTCATTACACCACAAAAGAATATATTCTTTGAAGTAAAAAACAAGTGAAGAGATCAAGACAGAAGTAGATGGGCTATGGAAATTAGAGTAAAGTCATTTGTACGCTAACTACGAAAGAGTGAACAAAAATTATGTTATAATTACATTTGGATCTCGCAGATGCTGCCATGTTGAGTCTATAAATATCATATACATTAACAAGTGAACACATCTTTATCATCTAGCTCTATGAACATGGAGACTAATCCTACCAAAAAACCAAAAATTTCTAACCTTCAAACCTCATTCTCTAAGGGCATTGACAGAATTGGAGAACTCCCGGATGTTCTCCTTCATCAAATTCTATCTTTCCTACCAACAAAACAGGTAGTGCAAACTAGCATTCTTTCAAAAAGATGGATTCACCTGTGGAAATTTATCAATACCCTCAACCTTGACGTCAATGACTTTTCTACCACTAAAAGCTTTAAAGTATTCATACACAACTTACTCAACCTTCGTAATATTGAATCAAACATTCTAGCACTCCGTATGTCCTGGCCCTGGATATCCAGCAGAGATATCGATGCGATTATGTGTTACGCATCTTATCATAAGGTTGAATCAATGGCGATTGATTGTTGGAGGCCTTTTCCTTTGTTCAATAACCCTTCTCTTGGATGTTCTTTAAGGATTTTGAAATTGAAGAGGGGATGGCTCGGAGGGAAAATAGACCTTCTAACTTTTCAAAATTTGCATACTATACATATTTATGATACTTGGGTACAAGCCCCTTTGGAGAGTCTCATTGATAATTGTCCTTCACTAGAAGAATTGTTTTTGAAGAGCTCTTCTTTTGTTTCTCTTAGAACTCATAGCAATAAGATGAGCAAGCTAAGTATACATGATTGTTCTTCACATGATGAGAAGATAGAGATATCGTGCCCGAGTCTAATTTCTTTGAGCTATGGGAATACTCCAAGCATGAAGTGTTCTTTGGAGAATTTGTGGTCACTGGATAATGCATATTTTAGCTGGTTTGATCACAAGGGAGTGAAGTTTCTAAACGGGCTTTGCAGGGTGAAGGTTCTAGTATTGGACTGCTTGCATCTTGAGGTATGGAGCTTATTTATTCCCATCCATTAGTTCACTGTCAAGTCCATCAGTCATTCATCACAACATGTTTACATACTTGTGTACATATACACATACCTGTGTATGTGCACGTATAGGGTGTAATGGATATGAACATGTGTGGACATACTCACTTTTGTATCCCGCCAAATACAGATACCAAATGTTAAACGTCCATATATGGAGACAGATACTATGTTTCATAGGAAATGCATTTGGATAAAAGACCTGTGCATATTATTTTAAATTAGTGGACCTGAACCGATTTTGGTAATCCAGAAATCTATTTAGATTCTTAGTTGTATGAAATACATTGATATATAGACCCTGTTTTTCAATTCTTTTTTAGGTAATTCCGATATCATAGGCTTGTAAATTTTCAATTCTTATGTCATTATATTGTTCCTCATATCAGATATGTATCCATATTTTTTTTATCCCTCCTATCCAATCAGTATCTATGTTCGATTTTAGGAGATGGATATATAGATTTTTCTTGTCGATTTATATCTGAATTCATATATTCTTCACCAATAAGCATATCAATGCATTTTAAATATCATATATGATCTATATTATGTACTACTATATAACATACGTACACTGATTGGTTGTTTAATTTGATCTTATATGCAAGTCAATATATAAAGAAGCCCTTAATGGATCACTGCCTGTGTTCCACAATTTGAAGTCCTTGACAACAAAGTCATGTCCTGTATCAACAAAGATCCATGCACAAGCAATCACTTACCTACTTCTCAATTCCCCAGCTTTGGAAACTCTCATCATTGAACACTCGGTAAAGTTTTAACATCTTCCTCATCGAGAAAATTTATTGCTTTTGAAGTCTTAGTTACGTGTACATCTTTTTGTGTTGGAGATGTTACCACTTGTACCTCTAACAATTTTATTCTTGAGAAATGCCACTATTTTCCCATTAAATTGAGATGTTAGGTGAGAATCAAGTAATCATAAATTACTTTTTTTTTTTTGCCTTTGATTTGTTAGACATATTTATTTATATATTTATTAGTTAAATTAGCTAGGCAGAAGAGTAAGTTAGAAAGTTTAATGCAACAGAAAATAACATCATCTTTGTCTAGAGGATGAACTAGAGAGTGGTCATAGAAATAACTTCTTGTAAAAACATAAGATTATGAAGATATGGTAAGGATTGAGGATTATAATTTTAGATTCTAACACATACATATGGATCGAAGACCCTTTCATGGACCAAAATCTCTACTCACAAAGCGGTATTAATTTTTCAATCTACTTTAGAAATTCATGGCTAGATTTGACCACACGTTGTTCTGATACCCGCCAAAAGCTGATCCTAGCTTCTGCTACAACTTAACTCTGAATTAATTTGTGGTGAGGGTGAAGAGTTATATAGTTTTAAATTCTAACTGTCATAGACCCAAAGTTATTTGACCCCTTCTAGGACCCGCACATAGTGGGAGCTTCGTGCCCCAAGCTGCATTTTCTTTTTCGGGTATGGAGGATACAAGTGCTAATTAAGTACTCTATGAGGTTTAACCCTGTTATTTAACATTGTATAATATTAGAAAATGTAAATAATTTTCTTGTTGTTGTTTCTCATTGCAGACATATTATCTTGGAAAGTGCAATCTTTCGAATACAAAAGGAGGAGGTTGGCCACCCAAAGGATTTGATGTTGAGTGTTTTTCCTGCTTGAAGGTTGTGGAATTTAGAAAGTTTGGATCATCAACAGCAGAGATTGAATTGCTGAAGTTTATATCTCAAAATGCAAGGGATTTAGAGAGAATAACAATTGCTCCAAATAAAAAAGTGAACAAGTAAGGTAATGATATGAATGGTTTTCTCACTTGAGGTGTTCAAAAGGATGTAGACAATGTGAAGGAGATTTTGATTTTAGTTGAGATTTGATCAATAGATTAAAGTTGTGTACAATAATTTCAAATGCAATCTTCTCAAAAGTATTGGTCCGTTTGTTAGATCTACATCATAAAAACTTGAGATCTAAAACCATATAGCCATGATTAATTCAAAGAGATTAACAAAAAAAAAAAAAACAAAAGAACGGAAGCTTATACCTGAATCCATAGAACAAATCTTGATTTGGGTTTTTTGATGATCTTCTAACCTTAAGGTTTCTCTAAATCCGAATTTCTCTAGCTAGATGGGGGTGTAGAGAATTAGAGAATGTAACCCTAGGTTAGGGATCATAACCCATTATTTATAGATGTTGTACTTTTGTAATTTAGCCCCTCAATAAATCACAATTACAACCTGGTATCTGCACATATAACCCCATGACTTATTTAAATACCCAATTAACCCAACTTAATTGATCACTTTAGTGGGTTATCCTGAAAGATAGAAATACACATTGATTAATCATATGTGCCCACAAATAGATTTATTAGATTAAATCCAACACCGTTCACTATGTTTGTCTCTAGTAAAGAGGATCTGAATCGATCTATTTTTTATCAAAAAAGAAAGAATATCAGAAGGATCAATAATTATCTAATGAATCTTAAAACATTTAAAGTTGGTTTTGATGAAACGGAAGCAAATAGGCAAACTCAAAGGTAATGGACACCTACTATTGATTGCTGATATCAAACAGTAACTAAGAGAAAATATTAAGTTGATAGAGGTCCTCTAACCCTCCGAATGTCCGGTTCTAGGGTGTGTTTTTCTACCCTGCACAAGTAGAAAATTGTAAGAGGACGGGGTTGGGTTCCCCAGTTGTTACTCCAACGATCAAGTTAGTAATTTGCTTGAGTGGAGAAGTAAGTAAACTGAAGTAGTTCTTAAGCATCGTGGTTAGAGATAAAAAAATCTTACCTTACTATTGAAAATAGTGCCTCTATTTATAGTGGTAGTGGAAGGGTAGAATTGTAAATTTGGTCGAGTATGGGATGACAGCCACATCAGCATCTGCTTTACAGGTGTCGGCTGACGAGTGGAGGAGATGTCTTTTTCGCATTTAATGTGAAGTAATAGGAGGCGTGTGGTGTTGACGTGGTCTGATGTGTCTTAGAAACTATTAGGGGAAGAGGAATGATGACACCAATTATGCATTTAATGGCATTTATTGTGAGGTCATCAGTTGTCAGCCTAGGGGAAGGGGCTCAAGGCTCGAGGTATTTTGTTGCATTTCTACTCGTCTGATGGTCGAGAAGTACCGCCCTTTGAGTCGTCTTCATAAGATGTCGTCCGAATGGCCAGTCAAGTAGGTTGATCGGGGAGTCGACCTAGCTAGGGGTCGACATGTAACGTCATTTAAATCGTCCTCGCGAGATGTCGGCGTGTCGAATCGTCCGAGCTGGGTCTTGGGTTATTTTGAAGTGCTGACTCAATTATGCACAATGTGGGACACTTGTCTGCCATTGGTTGGAGATTACTTTTCAGCACTAAAATAACTATAACACCTATGAACCAATTTTAAATAAAAATGTTCGGGTAGTAGGTATTGATGTTAGCTCCTATTCTAAACCTACCATCCTTTTTTATTATATTTTAATGTGAGACTATACTTACATATGAATAAATTTAATATTATTCAAATACTATTTCACTAATTGTAGACATGAGGCTTTAATCAAATTAGTAACAAAATGTGAAATATAAAAATAATGTTATTGAAAAAGAAAAGGAGAAATTAGATTCTAAATCTTAAAATATTCGCATGCATGAGTTTATTCTATCACAATCGCCAAAGCCTCCCCTCACTCTCGTTTCCAAGTTAAGCCATAACTCTCAAAAATACTTTCACAAAGAAAAAGAAGTTCTCAACATGAAAAAAGGGAAACTTGCTTCTAGCCCCCAATTTTCTTACAACTATTCCACTCATCCCAAGACTTTTTCATTGCTCCCAAAACCTCCAAAAACAAACGCATAATTCCCTGACCCCTAAAACACAAAACACAAGAGTTTTTAAAACTTGTATTACTGTGATGATTTGAAATTGGTTGAGGGGGTGGGGGGGGGGGGGGGGGGGATTCTAGTTCCCTCCAAAAATTTTCAACGGCGTCGACATTGACGGTGAAACTTTCCCGGTATTCATTCATGAGGTAAAGAAAACTCCTATCATGAAGACGATGATGATGAGTTCTGTCACCAACCCCCTTAAGTTTACATTTTTTGTAATTTTTTTGAAATCGATGACTTGAAATTACAGTAGAATATGTAAATTTATATATTATTGTTATTTCACTGTAATAAGTTTATTGTTAAGCTTATGAGTTGGTGGTGAAGGAAGGTTACATGTTATTTTTTAAGGTTACGGGTTGGTTGTGAAGGATACGCCTTGGTTGTAAAGGTGTTATGTGTTATTTGTGAAGGTTACAGGTTGGTCGTGAAGGTTACGCATTGGTTGTGAATGTTATGTGTTGTTTTTGAAGGTTACGAGTTGGTTATGAATGATACACATTGGTTGTGAATGATACGCATTGGTTGTGAAGGTGTTACGGGTTGATTATGAATGTTACAAGTTGGTTGTGAAGGTGTTACGTGTTGGTTGTGAAGGTTATGGGTTGGTTGTAAAGATTGCGCGTTGGTTGTGAATGTTACGGGTTGATTGTTAAGGTTACGGGTTAGTTGTGGAGGTTACGAGTTATTGTTAAGGTTACGGGTTGGTTGTGAAGGATACATGTTGGTTGTGAACCTCGAAAAGTAGTTGATTGTGAAGGTTACCTTCATAAGCAACGTGTAACCTTCACAACCAACGCTTATCCTTAACAACCAACCCATAACCTTAACAACCAACGCGTATCTTTCACAACCAACCCGTAACCTTAACAACCAACGCATAACCTTCCAAACCAATGCGTATCCTTCACAACCAACCTGTAACCTTCACAACCAAATCATATCATTCACAACCAACCTATAACCTTCACAACCAAATCGTATCATTCACAACGAACCTGTAACCTTCACAACGAATGTGTAACATTCACAACCAACGCGTAACACCTTCACAACAAACATGTATCATTCACAACCAACCCACAACCTTCAAAATCAACACGTAACCTTCCTTCACCACTAACTCATAAACTTAACAATAAATTTATTACAGTGAAATAGCAATAATATATAAATTTACATACTCTATTTTAATCTCAAGTCATCGATTTCAAAAAATATTCCATCAATATGTAAACTTAAGGGGGTTGGCAACGCAACTCCTCATCACCACCGTCTTCATGATCAGAGTTTTCTTCGCCTCATGAACGAACGCCGGGAAAGTTTCACCACCGATATCGACACCGTTGAAAAAGTTTGAAGGGAACTAGAATTTCTTCCCCCAAAACCCATTTCAAATCATCACAATAACATCATAAGAGAGAGAGAGAGAGAGAGAGAATATTATGGTCTTCACATGTTTTAAACTCTTAGGTTTTGTGTTATGAGGGATTAGGGAATTATGGGTTTGCTTTTGGGAGTTTTGAGAGCGTTGAAAAAGTCTTGGGAGGGGGTGAAATAGTTGTAAGGAAATTGGGGGCTAGGAACAATTTCCCCAAAAAAATAACATAACAAAAAACTCATGTTTTTTTTGGAGTAACACTGAGCTGTTCGTAGAGACCTATAGGCGATTTTCGACGCCTACAATATCGCCTTTCATGTCGACTCGTCATGGAGGTGAGGCTTTTGTTTCAGACACTCTGGCCGGTCGACCGAGGTAAATGCCAGTCGACCGACTTCGCTGTCCGGTCGACTGACGGATAATTCTGATCGACCGATACATGGTTTGAGTTTAGAGCTGATTTTCATGTTCCTGACCGGTCGACCGGGGCTATATGTCGGTCGATCGGATCGGGATTTTGGTCCTGGTTCGGTTTTATAACCTGTTTTGGATTGATGTTTAGTATAAATACAAACACACATTTTAGGGTTTTGGGGGGAGCAGTCAAAGGGTTATTTGGAGCACAGAAAAGAGAGTTTTTCACGGCTATTGGTTTAGGATTTTGTTTGAGAGATTGAGAGCTTTGTTTGAGAGATTTATTGGTGAGATTGAGTAAATTTGTAATCTATATTTGTAGCCTTCTTCTCTATTAGTGAAAACTCAATCCCTTCTTGCCCCGTGGACGTAGGTAACTTGTCGAACCACGTAAAATTAGTTTGTTTGTGTTCGTGTCGTTATTGTGATTGTGTTTGGTCTTCTCTCTCGATGTTTGTGTTGGTCCTCAGCACCCCAACATGGTAGTGAGGTGTCTTATTCCCATCCACTCATTTCAATTCCCAACCACTCCCCAACCCATGTGAATGTAGGCCCTGATTTCAATGAGTGGAAGAAAATATGCCACCATACTACCAAGCACAGAAACTCGTGCTTGGTACAAAGCATACTCATCTCTCTCTCTCTCTCTCTCTCTCTCTCTTTATATATATATATATATATATATATATATATATATAATAATAATATATATAAGAGAGAGAGAAGAGAGATAATGGTATCCTTTTCATAGAGCAGATTTCCCTCCTTGTCGCATATTGCACAATCCCACCATCATCAATAAAGTAGACACAATCTCCACCAACTTACACTCTCTCTCCTATTTATGAGGATGATGGGGATTGTGTGCCACCATAGGCGTCAAGAAGGAAATCCCTCCTATACAAGGATACTCATTAATTTCATATATATATATATATATATATAATTATATATATATAATATATATATATATATATATAATATTAATATATATATATATAATATTATATATATTATATATATATAGAGAGAGAGAGAGAGAGAGAGTAAATTCCACCAAGTCCTCAAGAAATTTCGGCATTTTGTGGTACTAGCTTTCAAAGTCACACTAAACCGTCAATAACTTTTGTAGAACTGTCAATATCTTTTGAGTAAATTACACTAAGCCCCAATAACTTCT